ACAGATCTTAGAGGCGAGCCCCGCTAAACCTTACCTACAACCCTAGAGCCCTAAAGCACTTTGTTGAGCAGGGGGTTTAGGCGCTCAGGGTTTTTGGGCCTCGGCCTAAAATCCCGACACTAGGTCCAAACCACGAAGCAAAAGCCCGGAACCTAAGTAGTTCCTTTCTGGGATTACCTTATAGGATCCTAAATATAAGCCCCAAAAAGGAACCTGCAACCCGATATCCCGGAACCCTGCATTCTCACGCCTTGAAGCACTGAAGCCTACAGACGAAAAGTCCTTAGGGTTCAGTTTTTCGGAGCCCCTATGACATCCTTCCCATTACGGAAGTCAAAACAACATTTTAAAACCCCAGCAAGCCGGAGAACACCAACTATAAAGAGGTCCTGGAAAAAAAAGACTTTACCCTAAGGGTCCATATATACTACTATTCTGGAGTTAGGTCCCAGAAACCATAATATGAAGGGTCTTTTGGGACCCAATTCCATAATGGTAGTATATATGGACCCTAATCCCTAAACCCGAATCCCTAAACCCTAAACCCTAAAACCCTAAACCCTAAAACCCTAAACGCTCAAACCCTAAACCCCAAAACCCTAAACCCTAAAACCCTAAAACCCTAAACACTAAAACCCTAAACCCTAAAACCCTAAACCCTAAAACCCTAAACCCTAAAACCCTAATAACCCTAAACCCGAAAGGAACCCGTGGGTTTCGCTCCGACGCGCCTCGATGAGTTCGTTCACTCCCGACATTCCTTGATTTTCCACGAAGAAGCGGCGGTGCAGCTCCACCCTTGGACCATGGTTTAGGGTGCAATTTATAGGAACCTTAATGGTTTAGGGTGCAATTTAGGAATCTTAATGATTAGAACCAGGTTTTGTGGTAGCCTATATTTCCTTGGGTTTATAAAGGGTTTTTTGCCTCCCACCTAGCTAGGACTTTAGAGGTTCATTTAAGTGAGGGTTCATTCCAGGGACATACTTTCCGTGCATGTTTTACTGGCTTGTAAGTTGAAGGCGTGCAAAATACTTGTGAAAAGATACCATCACAGCACCAGAAAAGAAAACTGACAGTTTGTCACTTCGGGGCTGCATACCTTAGCCCAAACGAGGGCAGCATTCTCAACGATGGTAGCTGGAAATAGGAGCTACGTGGGGCTACTTGGAACCTTTTAGAGTATTAGGCTATGGTGCTCCGAGACAACCCGGGGGGCGATCGCCCAGTTCGAAAAGTAGCCAGGCCAATAAGCCTCTAAACCAACGCTCCTAGGGTCTAGGGGTTTAGGGTTAAGGGGCTTAGAGTTTGGGGGTTTTGGGGTTTGGGGTCTAGCATGCCTTGACCAAGAAGGTTAGGTGGTTCGCGCAGCAACTGAGATTCTTGGCACGCCTGGTTGGTATCGGCAACTGGTATCGTGAAGGGATGCCCGCATCGACTGTGTTGCTGAACAAGATGTTGGCCGTCCCGGTTCGGGTTCGACAGGATCGCATTGACATCGTGGAGGCGCACCTCATCCAGAAGGCGGCGAGACACGGCCGTTCGCGGCTGGGTGGCCCAATACCGCCCAATACCCCTTAATGAAGGAATAGACCTGACATCATAATATTAAGGCCCCTATAATTTAAGGGTATATTCCTTAATTCCCTTTTAGAAACCCTTATAGATCCCTTTAAGGAGCCCTATAATTTAAGGTATATTTCTTAATTAAGGGGTACTGGGCTCTCTGGGTGGAGATCCTTTCGAGGGCCCTCCCAAAGGGAGGAGCTGGGGCTTTAGGCCCTGGTTTTAGGGGTTTAGGGTTTTAGGGTTTAGGGTTTTAGGGTTTTAGGGCTTTAGGGCTTTAGGGTTTTAGGGCTTGAGGGTTTTAGGGTTTTAGGGTTTATTAGCTTGGGGGCGTTTCCGCCTTGTGCCCAGGCGCTTGCTGCCATACAAAGGGATACAAAGGCTTCATAGGCTCTGGGAGTTTAGGGTTTAAGGTTCTTTTTTTTTTGGGAGGGGGGGGCCCTGAAGAACCTATAAAACCCTCAGCCACAAGGAAGCCTTTTTGCCTGTGCATGTGCACACGTGTTTCAAAGACCAAGCTTCACGTCCGCCTTTGTCGGAGGAAGCGGTGCAAGTTAAAAGATCCTACTATAGGGGCCTTTATAATGAGACTTTGTCGGGGGGTAGTTTGTATGATAGTTCTGCTAGTGAACCCTAGAAGGAATAGTACCACTACACTCTGATGACTTGACCCCTATATCATAACCGCCAATAGATCGTAAGCCAAGGCAGGCAGACACAATCGCAGAGTACAGCAAGGTTCTAGTAACGGTTTAGGGTTTACAAGGCTTTGGGTTTGGGATTGAGGGGTCCGGAAAGGCTTGGCACATGGCCGGCGTTTCTCTGTCTATCTTCTCGAAAGCTGAGCTTTGTTGCATGTGGTGCCATCGTGTCTTCCCTGCCCGGGCGCTTGGCGCAGCTTCACACCTCAACTCCGGCCTCATGGCGTAGCAAAAAAGAGCATACACATCTGCAAGCTGCAACTATACCTATGCAAGTCTGCAGCTGTATGCAAAGCCTGCCGGACTTGAGCTGCTGCCGCATGAGCGTTGCGTGCAATGCTGACAAGCTAAACCTCAGGACTAGAATTAAACCCTAGAGCCGAAAACCCTCTGAAGGGAAGCATCGAGAAAGAACAGCTGTTGTGCTGAGCTATTCTGCGATACTCACTGAGCGGTCCCTTTGCCATTGTCCACTCTGCTGTTGTCCGTGCTGTCCGTGCTGTCATTCCTCGGCACCAGAGACTGGCCCTTAGTGACGCTGACTTCGGGAGCAGCCTCCGCCTTTGGCACTGGAACCTCGTTTGCCTTCAGGAGACCCATGACCATGAAGGCAAGCCCATTGCCCACAATTCCCGCAATCATCACCTCGTTCCATGGCCGTTTGGGAAGGTATTCCAAGCCAAGGTAGATGGAGAGGAACATCAGCGCGATCTTGTTGAAGTTGCCGGCCATGGAAATCACGTGGGACTGAAACTTTGAGCTCAGGGTGTACAGCATGACATTGTAGAGTGTCGCGAAAACACCAGAAAGCACACCAAGACCGATGCCCAGCTTGCTGGTCTGCCAAACCTGCAGCAGGACCTGCCAATCGGTCATGGGAGATGAACCTGGCCAGGAGACCGAGTGTCGGAAGAAGAAAGCTGGCAGGAGAAGTAGCACGGATGCCGGCAAGGACATGTTCATAATGGCCTCCAAGGCATTCATCTTCAACTGGGTGCTAAGTGTCCTCACAACGATGAGTTCGATGCCCGATGCGATCATCGACAAGCAACATACCCCGATGCCAACGTAGTAAGTCCAAGTCGAGCCCGACGAAGCAAAGCTGGTGAGCTTGCTGCACACCACAAGGCCTGCGAAGAAGGTGCCTAGCAGAGTCAAGAGCAAGTCCCGACCGTTTACTTGAGGCCACTTTGCCTCCTCACCGGTGATGTTCGTCAAGACGGGCTGTGCCACAAACTCGATGGCGAGATTCACCAAGGCACCTGCAGTTCGAATGATGAGGTGGACGGATATGTCGAGAATAGACAAGCTCAGGTTGTTGAGGCCAATGTTGCAGACAAACGCCACCGCTAACAAAAGCACGCAGCCGACCTCCTTCCGAGTCCGCAGCATCTGACAGTTCGCTTGGTGACCAAAGCACCGAGCGGCTTGGAGGCCGAGTGAAAGGACGAGGAAGCTTGTGATTTGCTGTATGGCCGTGATCGCGAAAGGTGCCGGCACGCCTTGGACGCCGCCCGGCAGCTTGTAGTTGGAAAAGACCTGCTTCATGAAGAGGTTCATGGCTGTCTGGGCACCGAAGAAGGATACCAACAAACCTGCGGACTGCGACCGTGGATTCTGCTGCAAAATCGCACCGGCCGAAAGTGCAAGGAGAGGAACACACAATGTCTCAAAGATTTCCGGCGAGATGAGGATCATGTCCTGCAGTCCATGGCCCAACGCCACCGTATTCGCATAATGTCCTGCTGTTCCGTTGAATTGCGAAGGTGTCGGTGCTTGCCGAAGGGGCTGCTGTATCAGGCATGTCCCGTCGGATGCCATGTGGAGCATGCCGCCTTGAAGCCTGCGGCAATCCGGTTCGGTCTGGGATGTGACGGTCACTAGCTCGAGCCAATGTTCGAAACATGTATTCTAAGGTTTAGTTCAGGGAATACGTGTAAGTTTGGGGTTTCAGCACTCACTCTCGGACTTACCTTGGGGTTTAGGGCTTCGGGAGTAGTATGGTTCAGGAAGATCAAGGTTTTGATTAAACCCTGCAACCCCCTCATACAACCTTTCCACGCCTTTCCAAAAAGCTTGGACCCCTTGCAAACCTCCTGCAAGTCCATGAACAAGCGCCTGGAATTTTTCGGTTTAAGTCCAAAAGGCATCAAGCAAATCCTGTCAAACCCTAAACCCTAAACCCCTGGAGTGACCACGAACCCGTTGCAAACTCCAGAAGCGCCCCGGGATTTTACGGCACGCACAGCCTCAACTGTAAAGTCAATTCTAAAACCGTTGGCATGGCAAACCTGTAAAAGCCCGATAGAAAGGCTCTTTAAGGCCTGAGTGTCTAAATACATGGAGCCTTAAGTCCTACATTAAACCCTAAACTGTAAATCCCTATGATACCCATATAGAGTCTTATGCAAGCCAAATAGAAGCCCTCATAGAACCCTACCTATATAGGCACGTGGAGTCGTAGAGGAAAGAACCGAGGCTCCTGCACAGCATCCTTGCTGCGAGATGAGGGGACTCCTTGGGAGGACCACCTGGGCCAAAACTTGGTCGCTGTTCTTTTTAGGGTTTAAAGCTGTTTTTTGTAACAACTGGCGCATAAAAGAGGAGTTCGTGGCATTGCTGCAAGGGTTTTATCGGGGGGCTCAAGGATTGTGCATGATTTTGTGCAGGAGTTGGAAAAGGTTTTGTAGAGGAGTCTTCTATACATCTTCGGGTACCTGCTCGTGATAGCAAAGGGCGCACCACTGATGTTTAAGACTTGGGGTCCCTCTTTTCTCACGAACCCCTAGACTTAAACCGCATCTGGGATGCTTGCGTCGTCATGGGTCCAAAGGGGCTCTAGCCTGAGAAGCCTGCCTCTTCTGTTCTGCTGCACATACAGATCCGTTGCTATTTCATGTGGCGCGTCGCTGTTGTGGGCAAACAGCTGCCCACAACCACTTCTGCAGACCATGTCGGCCTCCTCCTCGTCCTACTACCACTACCACTACCCCTACCACTACTACTACTACTACTACGACGACGACGACGACTACGACGACGACTACGACTCTACGACTACTACGACTACTACTACGACTAATACTACCACGACAAATACGACTACCACTACCACTACCACTACCACTACTACTAATAATAATAAGAATAATAAATAATAAAAACATCAATAACAATAATAATAATGATAATGATAATATACTATTTCTGCTGCTCCTACTAATATTGCCGCTGCTGCTGCTGCTGCTGCTGGTGCTGGTGCTGCTGCTGCTGCTGCTGCTGCTGCTACCACTACTAACTACCAGCAATAGCACAGTTAACTAGTAGTGCGGGTACTATGGAAAGAGATTTTGTAAGGGGCTTGGAGATCTTCAAGGCCTCGACTCGCATTCAACTTCCGCCAACACCTTGATGAAATTCCACTGAAGCGTGTCGGAACAAGCCGGAAAGTCACAAAACCTTTCATGCTTGCTTAAAAAAACCTGACCTGCCTCAAAACAAAAGCTAAGCCGGAGGTTCAATCACATTATGGACTCCCGTTTCCGCACATTACTACAAGAAAAAAGCAGCAGTTGAAGCACACCGCCTCAGAACCCACATCTGCTGAGAGCCATGCTGCCAGACTGTAATATGCACGATAGTTTTTCACGAAAATCAGAAAGCCCAGCAAGCCAAAATCAAGCAAACATCATCAACCCGAATTCTTGGGCCCATACCAGCTGGGTGCAGCAGTCATAAAGGGCCAACGCTTTAAAGGCTTTTGTTTATGCTATCGATGTTTCGGGTATTGAAGGCTTTCTGCCGTGAGATTTTTCTGTTGCTGGCTTACGTGTTCGAGAGATTGCCGCTGTTGCGGCTGCAATATATGGGCCTTACTAATGAGAGTAGGACCGTGGGATATGTTACACTAATAGAGCGGTTTCCAGCATCCTTAGGACCCCAAACGGCTAAGTACCCATTTACATAAGGTCACGGCGGGCAACTTTGGATTCAAGTCCCTCATCAAGTCCGACAGCATGATCAACAGCCTGAAGACAATGTGAGGGCTATACACTGTACTTAGTTTATAACCTCTAAACTCTAAACCCGATTACAAGGCTCCTTTTTTTAAAACTGTTCAAACCCTCTCAAACCTACCGTTTTAGGGTTCCTCACTTGATTTCCCTGTAAGAGTCCTTAAAACATGTAATAGAGGAGCCTGAGTACCTACCAATGCTAACCTGTCCCTTGTTAAAAGCATGATATAATCTGCACAAACCTCATCTTAATTACCGCATGGTAGGTTAGTCGGGGTTCGGTTAAACCTTAAGCTTCGAAGCCCTGTGCAGGCTTTGCCTTTGGCAAACACTGCGATCTCTGAGCCAGGGGGCAGCAAAGAACAGCCACTTAATGTAGGGGCCTGTAGAATTAGAATAGGGCTCCTTTAACAAAGGTTATCGCAAAGGGTTCTGTGTAAGGGTTACGGGTATACGTGCTTAATTTCTTTGGAATAGGGTTTTGGGGGGGCTATAGTATATGCTATAGTTGTAACAAGGAACCCCCCCCCAAAAAAANNAAAAAAAAAAAAAAAAAAAAGGGTACGACTGAGGCTTCTAAGATTCTATACTACTCCCTGGTTCTTCATAGGGAATGGGGGAGCGACTTTGGGGTTTAGGTTTTTTTTTTCCCACCCGCTTCGC